TTCAAATGATTTTACAACGGATTTCTAGACACTGTCATATATGGACATGAAAAGTAAAAAAGTCAAGAATTTTGGCAAGCAAAGTGTTAGTAGTCCACAGCAGCTTGTAATGTTTACTTTTTAATATAAAGATTCTTCCATTTACACTTTTTATTTCTATTTTTTTATTGTATTTTTTCCATTACCATTTATTCCCCATACCCTCTTCCATCTCCTCTTCCATTCACATGTGTACTTGTTACAGGAATAAAAAAAACAAACAAAGCAACATGCCAAATATATTTGAGGAGTCTATAAGCTATCGAGCAAAATCAATTACTTTTGAGAGCCTATATTCCATGAAAATGTGCACCACACAGCATTATAGTAACTGAGCAAATGTAAACCAGGTGATTATTAATTCTTCTAAATAAAACATTTGACCTAAGGGCCAACTCTTGTAAGCCAAGTAAGAGGCGTGACTGGGCGTCACTAACCCTGTGAGCCTTGTGTGTAACCTCCCCACCACATTTCAGTGGAACATTGTGCTTAACAGTGGCCAGTGCTCACTAAATGCTCACTATGTGCCAGGCGAGATCTTTTCTAGGTGTTCACACAGCCAGGCTTCTCAACAACCCGAGGAGTGGATGCTATTATTATCCTCATTTTACAAGAAAGGAGACAAAAGTTAAGTAATCTGCTCAAGGTCAATGGGCTGGTAAATCCACCCCAGGACTGGCAGCCCGACCCTGACATGGGACCCTCACATGGTGTCATCTACCGGACCATGACTCCTGGACACCACAGTCTCCCACCTTTGAATTTCCTGCAGTGGCTGGAACACAAGGCACTCTTTAAATGCACGCTGAGCTGAATTGATGTTGCATGTAGTAGATATAATTATACCTTCATTCCTTCATTCAGTAAAACATTCGGAGTGCCTACTGTGTTTCCTGTCTTGTGTTAGGGACCCTGGGAGTCCAGGGACATGGCCTTTGTCCTCAAGTACATGCACTCCAGGAGCACAAAATAACTATCACTCCTAAATTGTACTGTATTACTAAACAAGACTAACTGCAAAATTTTACTGAGCAGTGATTATTAATTCACCAGATAACGCAGGAAACATATAATTAACCCAGTCTCTGTCGGATGATCTAATAATATGTCACAAAGCAGATGAAAATGTGTGGAGAGAACAAAGGGAAAGGTTGATTTTAGGGAAGAAACTTAAGAAAGCATTTCGGAAATGGTTATATTTCTTCTGACAAATGATTGAATGAAATGAAGCGTAACTGAAATTCACACCACAAAGATGGTTGGTTGAAAAGGGTTTTCTTTTGTATAGGAACAGATTTGGAAAGGTATTTGAAAGGTTTCAGAAAATAAACCTTTTTGCTAACTCTGTGTGCCTGCTCAGAGAGAAAAGACCAAAATATGGAAATACAGGCAGTTTCTCTGAGCTGTTTATAGAAGTCAGAGTCTATTGTGACAAGCACATTATAACAAATGTCTATCGAAATGTCTTGGGGGAGGAAGGGAAGGAGGAAGAGACTATGGAAGGGGTGATGGATGTGTTTGTTATCTTGATTGTGAAATGGTTTTACAGGTATATATGTATGCGTATGTCAAAACCCATCAAATTGTAAACTTTGAATATTTGCAGTTTATTGGACATCAATTACCTCTCAATGAAGCTTTTTAAAAAAGTTCCTAGACTCCTGCTATTAAAAATGTAGTCTATAAGCATCTGCAGCAGCCCAGAAAGCATATCAGAAATGCAGACTTCCCCTTCTGATTCTTTTCTGAGTCAGAATCTCCAATTTAACAAGACCCTCATGTGATTTTCATGCACATTAAAGTTGGATGTTTTATTATAGTGAATGTCTGGAATTCATTTCCCACACTGAGTTGTTAAAGGGAAGTTATATTCACTAATATTTTTAGGTCACTAAGAGCAACTACCTCTAGGACATTCCTTGATGGCTCTATTAGGAGGTTTAAATGTTTGATCTAGAGAATGAGCAAATTTTTCAAGAATTTTCAAAATGTGCCCCAACTGTATGGCTCAGTTGGTCGGGTGTCATCCACAGAGCGAAAGGTCGCTGGTTTGATTCCAGGTCAGGCCGCGTGTCTGAGTTGCAGGTTTGGTATCTGGTTGGAGTGATCGATATTTCTCTCACATCAATGCTTCTCTCCCTCTCTTTACCACTCCCTTCCCTTCTCTGTAAAAATAAATAAAATCTTAAAAAGAAAGAATATTCAATATGTTAAATTCCATAAGAATAAAAAATGACAATAATGATGGATATTTTACCTGTCCATCTCTCCAGGTGTATTCTACAGCTTTTAATATTTATACTGTTTTTTTTAAATGTCTCTTTCTGATTATAAAATAAATGCTTAAGCAGGAAACTTGGAAAATAGAATATATACTCCCCTGACCAGTGTGGCTCAGTTGGTTGGGCCTAATTCTGCTAAGCAAATGGTCGCTGGTTCGATTCCCCGTCAGGTCACAGGCCTGGGTTGCAGGTTCGGTCCCTGGTCACCATGCATGCAAAGGGCAGCTGATCGATGTCTCTCTCTCTGTTTCACATTGATGTTTCTCTCCCTCTTTCTCCCTCCCTTCCCCTCTAAAATAAATAAAGTCTTAAAAAAGAAAAGAGGATATATAATTCCATGAAGTATTGTTACATCTCATCATCATCCTCGAAAGTTATTGAATACTAAAGGTAGAACACTGAGCTAGATACAGCTAGGTAATATATTTATGACTTCTTAGAGGTTAGGCCTTGTAATTGCACATTTTAAAACTAACTAAAGCTAAATCTAAAGGTCCAAGCTAGTGGAAAAAATCAAATCACTTAGCTTGGAGGAGCAGCATATGCTTTGAGTCCAGCACAACTAGAAATGGGTTACCATAAACTAATGAAGCTTAAGCTTCAGGGCCTGGCACTTACACAAGCCCCATCCAAGGCCCTTAGAGGAGCCCTAGCAGCACATTCACTTGGTCAAATGTTTCTGCAAAAGTTTCTAGAGTAAGATGTTTAAGGCTTCCTTCCATCACCACCGCCCCCCAACATTAGATGGTATAGGAATGGCCATGGGCTTTTGGGGGATCTGGCTAAAGGGAGAGTGATTGAATAAGGGATACATTTAATCTGGGTTCACTGGCATGCATGTATGTGGTGTGCAGTCATTTCCGCATACTGTTAAATGGTTGCTCAGTGTGAGTGTAGGACTGGCTTTCTGGAATACACCTACTGCCCATTACGCCAACTCAGCCAGCACCATGTCACAAAGGTGCAGGGCCAGAGGGCACAGGAGCTCTGTGATGCCTGGCACAGGAAATACGTGGGTTGTAGAGGAGAAACAGTATTTGAAAGAAAGGGAAAATTAGTCCGTAGAAAATCCTTCCAGCCACCAGAAGTAAAAAATTACAAGTGAAGGATCTGTTTCCTCAATGCCTAATCTAAAAAGCTTAACCTAAAATGGAGATTTTCACTCATCAGTAAGCTATCTTGTAATGTCATGTGTACAATTATAAATGCACCATACTTGTTTTTGTTTTTATGTGCATTGTGCTAAATGGAATATATAAGAATCCCTATTTATGGGAAACAAGCTTGTAGTTGAACCGCAGTGAGCCTATCTGTATGTGAAGTCATGTGTTTTATTCATTTTATTGGATCAGATTTCCTCTTAATGTAGCAGACAAATCTTGTCCAGATAAATGCTGGAGGTCCAGTACAAACCATACACAAAATTGCCATTGAAGTAGTAATGAGTTATGAAGCTGAAATCTATAAACAATGAAAAAATAAGAAAACTAAGTTTTCAGCACCATGCTAAAAAAGGACCAATCTATTTTCTTTATAGAAAATATCACCAAATAATTGTCATAGAAAAAGATGATTTAAAGTATGCAACCAAAGAATGTGGGGAAAATGATCATAAATGATGCCCTTAAGTCTTGAAACACAGGCAAAAATGCATAATGTAGTCAAGGCATTTTTCAGTCTTTAAAAAAGTAAAATGAAATAATGATGTTTCTGGATTTTGGGGTGCCCTGTAGAAGTGGGTCAGGCAGTTGCTAAAGATGTTATTGTTATTTGTGTGATGTTTGTGGATTTACTTTTCAAAATGTCATCTATGATTTCTTTTCACTCTAAATAATTCACTTTCCTAACTTTTGGCTTATAATTTTTAAAAAGATTTTATTTATTTTTAGAGAGGGATAGGGAGGGAAAAAGAGGGGGAGAAATGTGAGAGATGAAATACCCAGTGGCTGCCTCGCTGCAAATGCCCCAACCGGGGACCTAACTCGAAACCCAAGCCTGTACCCTGACCAGAACCGAATCAGCGTCCATTCGCGTTGCCGGTCGACGCTCAACCCACGGAGCCACACCGGGTAGGGCTGCTTGTAGTTTTTTGTATCTTTTCCCTAATGAGGGATCCACCAACTGTATGAGGCTGAGTTCCCGCAAATCCAGGATCTGCCAGTTTACAACAACCGCACAGAAGCCACTGAATTTCTCTGCTTCGTCAGTTTCCTCTTTAAAAAAAAAAAATTATGCCTGGAATTTCCTGAGTTTCTAGGAAGACCATACTAAAACTGTGGTGTAAGAGGTCTGCAGATGTCAAGGGTCCCTTCCTGGAGCGTAGGGGCGCTTGTCCTGACAGTCACCCTCCCTGCACAAACAACACGCAGGGCTTGCCTGCCGCCGCCCTGCCAGCCATCGAAACCCGCGGGACAGAGCGGTGCGGCGAGGGCGGCGAGGAGGGCGCAGCATCCACCGCCGGGCGCAACAGGGGCCGGAGAAGACAGAGCGGGTAACCGGGCAGAGCGTTCGGGACCCTCCTTGAGCTGGGGGGCGTGGCACGCGGTTACGGAGGCTGCGAAACAGACGGTGCCGAAGGGGCGGGGCACCGGGATTCGGCACTTTTCGCGGAGAGCTTTGCAGCCCACTCAGCACCGGAAGTTCCGGTGTTGGTAAGTGGAGGTCAGAGGTCAGCAGGAAGTCGATACGTGGCCGCCGCCTGTCCCCGCTGAGGAGGCGCAGCAGCCGGAGATGGCGGCGGTGCTGAACGCTGAGCGACTCGAGGTCTCCGTCGACGGCCTCACGCTAAGCCCGGACCCGGAGGAGCGGCCTGGCGCAGAGGGCGCCCCGCTCCTGCCGCCGCCGCTGCCGCCGCCCTCGCCTCCCGGGGCCGGCCGGGGCCCGGGCGCAGCCGGGAAGCAGCCGGAGCCCGGGGAGGCGGCGGCTGGGGGCGCGGCGGAGGAGGCGCGGTGGCTGGAGCAGCGCTGGGGCTTCGGCCTGGAGGAGCTGTACGGCCTGGCGCTGCGCTTCTTCAAAGGTGAGCCCGACCGGCCCCGCCCCGCCGCCCCTGCCCGGCCGTGGGAGCCCGGCCTGGGCTGTGGCCCGCAGGAGGCTGGACCAGTCTTACCCCCACCGTACAGGGCCGCGGCCACGGGAAGAGGGCTCCGTCCTTGGGGGTACCCGAAGTTTGTCACCAGCAGCTTGGCTACTGGGTCTGGGTCACACCCTTGCGGGGCCTGGAACCTTGGTTTAGTCGACCGAGTCCCCTCTTCCCGAGGTTACCGGGGCATTTTACCCGGTTTAGCGTCTAGGGTTTGCGTGAGCCGGGATGGAAGAATGAATCCTCTCTACACCAGAAGATCCCATTCTGGAATTTTTTTTTTAACCGTTGCATCCTTTTTTGTGTTTCCTATACCATGACACATCACACCCCACCGATTTTTACCCTTTTCCTGTAGTGCAAGAAGTCTTTCCGTAGGTCGCAACGTACCCTTTTCAGTCTGGGGAACCATGCGCTCGAATAGGATTTGCTCACCTGGCAGCGTTGGTGTGGCAGAGAAGAGGAAGTGTTAGGCTAACACATTCCCCCTGGCTTGTCAAACTGTAAAGAGGAGGGATACCCACTATGTCCTAGTAACTTCTAGAAGGTTAGAATTTTACCTTGTAAGCATTGGGCCAAGAGTGAATTCTCAGGGTAGGGTTTAAAAGTGTCCTCTGTGCTTCTCGCAGAATCAAATGTAAAGTGCCCCTTGCCTTAGAGCAAGATTGTGGTGTGTGGGTTTAATTGGGTGATTCACTTAGTCAAATGGTGGTCACACCAGTCACATGATCTTGTCAGTGGGAAAGACTGATGAGGGGCCGTTAGATTTAATCTTTAGAGATAATTTAGAGCTCGTGGGCTGGATGGGCAAAGAGAGCCATCCGCAAATGCAACTTTAAAAGTGGTTGCTAGGTTCCCTGTAGATTCCAAAACAGCGTATTTATGACGTTTTAACCAGAGGGAGTATCTTTTGGAGTACATATATTACTAGCTAAAGTTGAGTAGTTCAATGTAGTGATGCGTGCAAAAGTTATTTGCTTTTTCACAAAATACTTTGGGCGAACTAATGAAAGCCTTTCTTCTATAAACTTTCCAGAACAGTTGATCATTTCCCATTCATTGCATTTCGTGTTAAAAAGTTTACTCTTGAAATATTCATGTGATTGCACAGTGAGTCGAGCCCTGTGCGCCCTGCTTAGCTGGGGAAATGGAAATGGAAATGGCTGATGGGTTTTGGATCACTTGACCCTTGAATTTAGTGTTTCCCGCAGTGATGATTTACTGTCACTTACATAAAATTCTGGTGGCTTCTGTACAATTCTTATAACTACATTTTACTTTAAAGTTTTATTCTTAGAACTTACTTTTCCAGATTCAATAAGGTTGAATAAAGTGTATTATGGCACAAGTAGGTAAGAATAGAAAAGAACCAACTTGTAATCCTAGCTTTTGCCGCATGACTTAACAACAAAAAAAAAAGGGTAATTTCATTTTCTGAGCCTGTCTTCTTTGAATACAGAAGTTAACATCTTTGAAAAATTAAAACACTATATAACGTGCAGCATACTCAGCATTGCTTTGGAGGCAGGAAGTCCTGGATTCCATTTACTGTATAAATGCCTAGACAATTAACTTTTCTCTTCCAGACTCATTTTCTCCCCATTTATGTATATGGAGCTGGATTAAGTGAAATTTGGTGCTTCAGATTTAAGATTTGGTGGTCTAAACCTAATATTTCGCTGAGTTGGTAGGACTCCTCGGGGAACCTGTAATTGGAGGGTCTAGTTACTGGTGACCTTAGAGGAAAAAGCTACATTGACAGGTATGGTTCACTCACTTTCTGAGTTAGGCTGTAAAGCAGTCTCCAGGTACTTAAAAGCAGAAATAGCAATGTAACAATCAAAGGCTACCTTTCTGCGTCGATCATTACACAGTTAGCAATGAAGAGGCTGTTAGTATGTGAGATGCCTTTAGGGAAGAAGGGGTAAAGGATCTAAAAGCAGAAGAATTATGGGAAGTGGGGTGAATAATGGTTGCTGACTTTTTTAAAAAAGATTTTATTTATTTGCTTTTAGAGAGAGGGGGAGGAAGAAGGTTGTTTTAATCTGTGAATTTTTCCAGCACAACATTTGGCATTCTTTTCAGTCTTGTAAGAACTTCTAATACATCACTATTTTGTGGGTTTGTACTAGTGTTTCACAAGAATTAGAAATAACATTACACTTTATCTTCCACTGTGGAATAAATATGAATCTTGAAAGCTTACCATTGAAAATGACTTGGACTGGGAACCAGGCACCCTGTTTTGCACTCCATTCCTGTCCCAGTCATGACAGGCTGGTGAATGAACCCATTATGTCAGCTAGCTGCCCTTTTAACCTTATGAAGGTAAAAGTAAAATAGTAGATGAAAATACAAGGAAATGTAAGTTAGCATCTCTGCACCTAAACTTCAGACATTGTTGAGTATTATGCCTAAAGTTTCATATGAGGTGACTGCTATAAATGAGTAGTACATTCCCTTTTGCTGTTAAGGAATTTAGAGGCCAGAGGAGGAGGTAAAGACCCAGTGACAACTGCAGTGCACGGTGGAGGGTCCAGGGAGCAGATGCCATTCCAGAGGGGCGGAGGCCAAGAGCCAAGTGCAGGGCGAGGGGCCTGCGTCTGGGAAACGGCAGGCAGGAAGCAGGCAGGAAGCAGGGTGACGGAGAGGGCCGCAAAGGTAAGCTGTGGGGCCTGCGCCCGCCGCAATGCCGTTGTGAGCAGCCTCTTCGTCGGTGCTCAGTGAGGAGCTCAGTGAGGAGCTCAGTGAGGAGCCGTGGACAGGGTCTGAAGTGAGGAACAAAGTTGCTCAGCTCTCGTTTCGCGAGGTTAAGTTGGTTTTCTTACCTCTGAGTTAAGTACTAAATTGGTTGGCTGTATTGTAGCCTTCATACTTTTTGGATGGAAGTAACTTAGGGAGTTGTAGTTGGTTTTTAGAGTTCTTAGGGGTGACTTTTCCCTTCTCCAACACTTTATTACCTCCTCTCATTAAGCTGGTAGATGGTCGCATTAACTTAAAATTCCAGAGTAGTAATTGCCACCAGTTACCGAGCAGATGTTCACTCAAAGTCTGATACTGTTTTGAGAGCTACATATACACTGTTGTTTAATCCTCCACAAGCCCTTCAGTGAGGGTGTGATCCCTGTTTCTTAGGTGAGGAGCTTCCCCAGGCCAGTCAATTATTATTAGTAAGAGGCAGGGTTGGTTCTGGGTCTGTGATTCCAGGCAGTCCTTCCCCCAACAGGAGATGAACAGCAAGAGGGGACCCTGGGCTCTGGTAGTGTTCTGAGGAAGGTATTTTGGAGTTCCTCCCTTGTAGCCTTACCACATCTTGGAACTTATTTAATATACAGGGCCTGGCAGAAGTAACGCCTGCTGAGTGTGGTTGCTGGGGCAATAATATGGGTGTAATAATTTATAGTTTTAATCTGAACCTGTCACCTGAAATGTCATAGGGTGTGCTTGAGTGTGATATTATGTTACAGAATCCCATGCTTATAATTTTGTAATATAAGATTTTGTAATAAAAAAGGGCTGTTATTTGTGCCAGACCCTGTATTTATTTGAAAACATTAAGAGCTGATGGAAAGATTCATTTTGTTTTTCTACACAAGATCACTTTATTGAGAATCACTTCAGATACCCGGGAAAGTAAAGCATGGAAGAAGCATCTACTCTCAATTGCTACATAACATTGCTCTCAGGTTTGAAATACTCATTGCAGTGGGGGGAGGGGGGCGGGTGTCGGGGGAGTCCCCTTCAAAGGACTGGGGTAAGTGTGCCAATCAAGAATATTGCTGTGCTAAATCCCATTGCTCTTAGTACGTTGTGGACCTTTTAGGAGGCCTACAGTTAGCTAACCTAATGATTGTTTTTTACTCTTACAAATTAAAAATGGATGTTTTAATTTCACTGAGGATTAAAAAATGATATTCTAATTGTCTTTTCTTCACTATAATACTCTTATATACTGTGTGATTCAGGGTACAGCTCAAATAGGAAAGATAAATACTTTTTTCCCTTTATTTGTTAGTTCCCAAAATAATGAGTGTCCCTAACAGACTCAAAAGGTGACTGTTTTTTTAAGGTCATTATGTACTCATGCTTTAAACATATTTGGGGTTTTCTTTTTGGGTTTTTTTTTTTTCCTCTTATTAGTGATGCCCAAACTGTAGCATCTTTAGAAAGTGGGCCCTGGCTGGTGTGGCTCAGTGCATTGAGTGCCGGCTTGCGAACGAAAGGGTGCCCAGTTTGATTCCCACTCTAGGGCACATGTCTGGGTTGTGGGCCAGCTCCCCAGTAGAGGGCGTGTGAGAGGCAACCACACATTGATGTTTCCCTCTCTTTCTCCCTCCCTCCCCCTCTAAAAGTAAATAAGTTAAAAATAATTTTTTAAGTTAGGAAAAAAAAGAAAAAGGGGGAGGCTTTTCAGATTGGCTCCTAAGCTCCTTTGACATGACGAGTCCATCATCTTCCATAGCATCTTTACTGTCTGGTGTGATGAGCCGTCCCAGATGCATCTTACACATATCCAGGGAGACCTGGTTCCTTTTAGTGGGACATGACAGTAGAGGAGCCATAACCTTGGTGACAGGAGCTGGGTGCCCATTACGGGATTGGTCATTTCTAGGCCTTTGCAGTAGACAGAAAGATGGGGTTGTAATAAGGGAAGTATTTTTGAGGTTATGATATGTAAAAGGAAACAAGCTGAATTTGGAAGAACTTCAGTCTCGGACTCAGTTTCTGCTCTCATTGCTGTCGATTTCACTTGGTTATGTTACTGATAGCAAAGAAGTAATCATACGGTTGTGCTGAAATGGTTCCATTTCCTTTCGTCTTCCTTAAACATAAACATCTACAAGAACTTTTATAAATGGCCCCGTTAATGTTTTAAAATACTATACAGCTGTAATTTATTCTTTGGTAACATATGTAATTACTGTGTGCTTCCTGGACTCAAGTGGCAGCCTTATATAATTTCAAGTTTAATTGTTACCATTGGATATCTTAAATTTTGAGTTTATTTTTTCCCCTCCTATTGTGTTTCTCTTTAGACATAGTGTATATTAGTATAGCAAGATGTATAAACCTAAGAGACAGTTGTAAGAAAGAAAATTATAGCCACCAACAATAGTGATGCTTCTTAAACATCTGATTTTTTAGTTTGCTAGTTTATATTATGTTTGAGCTGAACTAAAATTTTCCTTTGAAGACTGTATTCAGCGGGGTGGGGTGTGCGTATTTAATGTAAATGACTTTAGCGTTTGCCTGAGGCCTCCCCTTTATCTGCCACATGTGCAGAAAACAAGCAGCTCACAAGTGCATAGCTTGGTGAACTTTCCCAGAGTGAGCACGCAGGCCGCTGACGCCCGGGGACCTGATGCTCACTGGGGCCAGATGACCCAGCGAGAGCGGCTCCGCTCAGTGTGTCGGGACCTGAACTCTGCAGTCGGCAGTTCCTCGGGGGTGTTTCCCTGGTTCTGCCACTCCGTTATTTAAGCTCCTGTATTCAGAGGGTTGTGAGGATTATAAGAAATTATGTATATAAACTCAGAGCAGAGTACCTGGCAGCTGGTTTTCTGTGGCTGAAGAGATTATGGAACTTTATTATGGAGTGTGTTGACTTCACAGGGGTAAAAAGCCAACTTTTATTAAGCACTGTGCACGTGCTAGGCCCTTTCCAGTGTTTTATGTTCATTGACTCAGTAATACTGCATTGTATTACACTGTCTTATAACTGATACAAGAATCGATCAATCGTGTTTTTTCTCAGCCCAGTATGAGAGAGATGTGGTTTTAATTTTAATATTTCTAAAAGATGGGTTCTATTCAAAATATAGTCCCTGTGAGGCAACAGTGGGATAAGGGTCATGAAAGAAGACATTTGGTTTTAGGCTGCTGTGGTGGAATTGCGGTCCGCAGGATGAGGGAAGGTGGGGACGGGCTTGTTCCCCCTGCACCGATCACGCAGTCCCTGGATACTGCTTTGTGTCTGCAGCATCCTCCTGCCGGGGTACAGCCGGGATGGAGAGGGAGTTCATTCAGAAGAGGGCCACTCGTGCAGCGTGGGAATTCAGATCCCTGTTCCCGTGATCCCAAGAGCTGCTGGTTGGCCAGTATCTGCTCTGCGGGCCCTGTACCTAGGCTTTGGAGCCTGTTACTTCCAGCCCCCACCGGAGCCCCCTGGAGAAGTGGTCAGTATCTCCATTTTACTGATAACAGCATGGAGGCTCGAGAAGGTGACATAATTGTCCCATGCTATATAGGTAGTAAATAACAGATCTGGGATTTAGGAGGCAGGAGGTAGAGGCTGTGGATGTTTAGCCTAGAGGGTAGAGAACTCAGGGCGACCGTGGCGGGAATTGTGTGGCTTTCTTGAGGTCTGATCTGTTAGATGTGTTTGAGGACTAGAAATAGATCCTGTAGCTAGAAATGAGAGAGGTGAACTCAGGATAAAGGAGTGAACATCACAGCTACCTGATGATGGGGAGGCTGCTTTGGGACAGTGAGTTACCGTCACCAGGAAGTGTTCAAGCACAGGTCAGCAGTTACTGGGTGGATATGCTTTGATTCCTTCTGTGTATCTACTACAGTGGGTGTGTGGTTATCGTGAGGCTTTCATAAAATATTTTCTAGTTCTGCTAGTTTAAGCTCATAACTTCCACAGCATACAGAAATTTTATACTTTTATTTCTCCCTCCCTCACATTTTAGGTTATTGATGTTACAATTTACATCTTTTTTATATTGTATATCCAGTAACAAATTACTGGAGCTTTGGTTGTGCAGTTCAGTCACCTGTCTTTAATATATTTTCCAACCCATATATTTTATGGCTTTCATTTCATCAAATAAAGGCTAGATGGGACATTAAAATAATTTGGTACATCCCGCTTCCCTTACCTCCAGACAGAGGGGGAAAATACGATTTCTCTGTAAACTTATTCTTGCAATTGAGGTGTGAGACTAATAACCTTGTGTATGATTAATTTCAGGTGGAAGGGACTTAATTTTAATCTTTCAGACCTTTCGGCTTGGTCACTGTGGTTATAATACTACTATTAAATTATATACTCTGTCTTATTAGAACTGTAAAGTTAAATACTTAGGAATTTAATAAGAACAAAATCTATTGTAGAAGCCATTTCTGTTTTTAATTGCTTGGGAAAATGTGTCTTGTGTACAGTAGTGGTTTCCTATTGCTCCTGTAACAAATTACCAAAAGTTTAGTGGCTTAAAACACCTTCTGTCTTAGAATTTTTGAGGTCAGAAGTTCAAAATGGGTCTCACTGGGTTAAAAAAGGCGGGGAGGCCGGCAGAGCTGTGTTCTTCCGGAGGCTCTAGGAAAGAACCTGTTGCCTCGCCTTTCCTGGCCTCTCGAGTCCGCCCACCCCACCCCGCCCTGCATGCTTTGCCTTCCTGGCCCCTTGCTCCCTCTTCAAAGGCAGCAGGCAGCACCACGTCCACAAATCTCCCTCTGACCCGTCTTTCTCTGCCTCTGTGCATAGGGACCCTTGTGATTACATAGGGCCCACGTGGGCAATCCAGGATAGGTCAGCTGTGGCCTTAATTCCCCTTTTTTAATACAATTCCACACGTTTGGGGTGAGGATGTAGATGTCTTTGAGGGGGTTGTTATTATTATGCCTTCCATGGATGTTATAACACCTTTGATTACTGAAATTGAGTGCATTATGAATTTACTCATCTGACCATTTCACCAAAATTGAAACCAAAGCAATTTAAAAAGTCAAGTTGTACTATAAGATTTAAAATTAAAAATAGCCACCCCTTATCTCTCAAAAAAGGAAGGTGGTGGCAGTATTGTTTAGCATTTAGTAGGGAACCCTTCCGTCTCAGTCCTGCTTTTAGTCCTGCCTTTTCCTCCCACCTGACACCCTCGGGTGGGCACCCAGGCCTCCGCTGCAGTCGGCACAAGGGAGCCGCCCGCCCGCCTGGGGGGGCCAGGTGGGGACGGGCGGTGGAGGACCTGCCTCTTAGATTTTATTTAACTTTATTTATTAGATTGTTTTCTTCTGTTTGTTTGTTTGTTTTGTCCATTAGGTTGCACATATGAGTGAAATCACATGGTACTTGTCTTTCTCTGAGCGGCTTATTTCACTTAGCATAATGCTCTCCACGGTCACCCATACTGTGGCAAAAAATAAGGTTTCCTCCTTTTTCATGGCTGAGTAGTATTCTGTTGTAGAAATATGCCACAGCCTTTTTATCCTATCTACTCATCTACCTGCGGGCACTCAGGCTGCTTCTAAATCTTGTCTATTGTAGATAACGCTGCAGTGAACATAGGGTGCATATATTCTTTCAAATTAGTGTTCTGGGTTCCTTCGGATATATTCCCAGAAGTGGGATTGCTGGGTCAAAAGGCAGATCCATTTTTAATATCTTGAGGTCTCTCCATACTGCTTTCCACAGTGGCTGCGCCAGCCTGCGTTCCAGTGCACGGGGGTCCCCCTTTCTCCACATCCTCGCCAGCACTTGTTTGTTGATTTATTGGTGAGGGCCATTCTGACAGGCATGTGGTGATACCTCATTGTGGTTTTCGTTTGCGTTTCTCTGATGATGAGTGATGGGAGCATCTTTTCATAAGTCTATTGGCCATCTCTATGTCCCCTTTGGAGAAGCGTCTATTCAGGTCCTCTGCCCATTTTTAAATTGGATTTTTTTTTTTTTTTTTTTTTGGTGTTTGATACTACATTTGAATATTGGTAGTTAGGTCCTTACAGGTCAAACTGGCTTCACTCTTAGTTGCCCATTGGCAACCTGTCAGCTCACCACAGTATGAGGGAAGGAAAAAGATCAGGTATTATTGTTATTAATGATGCCTGTTGCCTCTGAAGCAGCAGAGGCGCCTGCTGTACTGACAAAGCAGAGAGGGGTGTGGCTCCGTGTCGAGGCAGTGTTGGAGGTGGGATTTAACTGACCCAGGCCGTCCAGTCCCAGAGCCCCTTCCACCACACCACTGCCGCATGGGATGGGTATGTTTTGAATCTAACCATGCAGATAACATGTATGATAATATTAAAAGGGATTGATACTAAATTGTTTTTCAAAAAAACTTTTTAGCCATGGCCGATGTGGCTCAGTTGGTTGGAACATCGTCCCATAAATCAAGAAGTTGCAGGTTTGGTCCACATTTGGGGCACATGTGAGAGGCAACCGATCAGTGTTTCTCTCTCCCCCTCCATTCCCCTCTCTCTCAAATGAATAATGTCCTCAGGTGAGGGGGAAAAATCTTTTAAAAATGATTGTTGAACATGCTTTATATGTGTAAAAGATGTCAGTGTATACTTGTGTGTGTGTGTCTGACTGTAGCTTGACAGATTGGGTTTTTGTAGTAGTTTTAATGTAAATATTGGTACTTGGCTTCATTTTTTTTTTAAATTCAGCATAAAGTCTATTAAAATTTAGTACTTGGGGGGAAAAAGGTCACTGTAATAGTGTTTATCACAGGCAGTTTGTGACATACCTTATAGCAAAACTTCAGCATACAGTGCTGAAAATGATTTATTTTTCCAGTGCTAGTATTTTCTTTGTGTTTTTTTCTTGTAGAAAAAGATGGCAAAGCCTTTCATCCAACTTACGAAGAAAAACTGAAGCTTGTGGCACTGCATAAGCAGGTCCTTTTGGGCCCATATAATCCAGACACGTGTCCTGAGGTTGGATTCTTTGATGTGCTGGGAAATGACAGGAGGTAACAATGTTTTGCTGTAAAATTAATTTAATGAGAATAGTGTTGAAAATGGTACAAAATGAATTGGTTAAGATGTAAATAGCTGGTTCATTAGCTTAGAACTGAAACAAACATTTTTGCTTGCAGCTTCTGGAGTCTTCAGATGTTTATCTGTTTTTGGCTTGGAGATGTTTATGGCTAAATATTGTGGAAGAAGCTTACTCATCTGATTATGAACATAAGACAAGTACAGCTTCATTTGATTTTTCCTAATAATATTAAAAGCAGCCATTTAAAATATGTAGTGATTGATTCCCTTATTGGGACATATGGAGAGCTGTGGCAAAAAGAATACATTGATTGTTTTTTTCAATTAAGGCTGAAATATAAGTAAAACAGAACCTAGAGATGCTTTTGCTAGTATGGAAATTATCAGCAATGCAGTTAAATTGTTGTTTATGAAGTAAGTTTGGATTTACGTGGCATACTTAATTTAGTAAATCAGTACATGCTTGTTGAAACTTGAAGTTTTGAGCCTTTTGTTTATCTTAGAATTACTCTTCATTTTAGTAGTGACTGAGAATTGTTCATATGTAGGTTTCAATTAAATCAAATTCTCATCCTGTTAAGAAGAGGCGGTAACTTTCCTGTTCTTCTTCGCAGGAGAGAGTGGGCAGCCCTGGGAAGCATGTCTAAGGAGGATGCCATGGTAGAGTTTGTCAAGCTTCTGAATAGGTGCTGCCATCTCTTCTCAACGTATGTTGCATCCCACAAAATAGAGAAGGAAGAGCAAGAAAAAAAAAGGTGAAGTTTGAGGGCAAAAAACACTTTGTCCTTGTATAGCCCAATATATTTCTGCTTTGCTTTATGGAGTGTTCTCGATCAGGTCTCTCACTTCCCTTGGACCCCAGTGATGGCAAATACTCAAACTTCCCGACGTGAGCAGGTATTTATGAACCTTGGGGAGCGGGGGCCTGCTGCCTCCGTCTGGCTCTGCCTTTAAGAGGAACCGCCCATCCATCATGCATTATTCTCTTCGTGGCATTACACTGAATTTGTGAACACACATCATAAACTCAGCCACCCTCCCCTCCTCACCTTCTGGTCTAACACACCATTTGTGGCTGTCTCCCTTGAGTTTCTAGAATATTCATACTTCGTATCATGGTTATCAGCCGTGCTACATGTCAGGCCTTATACAGACATTCCGCGCTGGCTCTGGCCTCCAGAGGGCTTATTCGTTATTTCCAGGGGCTGGGGTAGGGGCTGCTGAACGCACTGCTTATGTTTATGGGATTCTGTCATGATCGTGAAAGCAGCGGAATTATAGTTAGCACCTTCTTTATCTAGAGGTTTCATTTTCAATAACTTTGACTGTTTAAATTGTCTCCATAATGAAAATGTTGCTATAAAACCTATTTTTTTCTCAGATTATGTTATACTTACTTAGAAACAGCCAGTCCTCTGGTTTCTCACGTTAACCAGCATGGAAATAATAGACGAGAAGAGAAAATTGCCCGACAGTGAGGGAGCAGCCTGGGTCGGGGGACAGACACAGCCACAGGGGAGGGTGGTAGCCAGGGCCAGGCGGTGTAAGGGCGAGCCTCTCTGTGACGGTGTCACGGCGTCACGGCACGTGCAGGCTTCCTGGTGGCAGTTACAGCTGCGCCGTCGGAAGACAGGGCGCCGGGTATCATTTAGTGCTGTGTGAGAGGATAGGCAGCAGTTTAATACGCTTTCGACACTCATTTTTATCCAAAGGAAAAGTTAGGATTTATGTAAGAATGGAATGAGGTTTCTTTATTGGAAAATTGATTTACGTGCTACAGTCTATTGTGTAGTAATGTGGAACCAATGAGATACAGCGCTAGTAACTTTGGAAGTGTGCTTTTTGAGATCCTTCTTAATAAGTTTGAATATTTAAGTTACTATTCAACATATAAAACTGCATTTTTCCTTTTAAAAATATACTTTTTCATGAGATGAAGTCCATATAGAATTCTTTTAAAACATTTGAAGACGAGACTCCCTCTCCAAAAGCTTAAGCCCTGGCTTGTGGAGCAGCTTGCCCTGTGGAGCAGCTGCAAAACGTTAAAAGTAGGTCATGTTATTACCATATTTTGAGCCTGGACTGGGGTTCAAGTGTGTTGTCACTTAATAGGGGTTTGGGAAGAAAAGTGCGGTAACCCAGACAGTGCTCCTGGTAGGACCAGGAGTCGTGTCTTTCTGAGAGTCCGCAGCCTCCCTGTCCTCCGACCGCCCTGAGGCATGGCTGCACCCGTTCCTGTGCCAGAGTCTGTCCTGGGTGGGGCGGGGGGCTGCGCCTTGCCTTCCCAGTGCTCTTTTCTTTCTTAAAAGCTTTAAAATGATTTTTAATTTCAGCAATTATACACAGGTGTATGCAGTATAAATTATTTCCATATAGGAAGCACATACTTAAAACCTTCCCTCCCACCTTACCTTTACTCTCACTCTTCTCTTCTAGAGAACACTTGACAGACGTAAGGTGTATCTTATAGACCCTTTTCCATGTACTTACCTGCTTTTTTTATGAGACAAGTATGTTAACTGTCTTTACATACTCGGCCATTAGTTCTAGCCTTTTGTGGCTGCGTGGCATTCCAGGATGGGTTAGTCATTGCTCTCCAGGCTCGTAGGCCGCGTGTGCTCTCCGGCACTAGCCCGAGAACGTAGCGGGGTGAGATGGGCCACCTCTGCCCTCGTGCAGCATGTGCTTCCATGCGCAGGGCGGGTGTGCCGCGGAGTTACCACAGACTTCAGTTGCGGTTACAGCAACTAGCATAAGGGAAGAGCTAGTGGTGAGCCTGTATTAGAGGGGAACCTTGGGGCATGGGTGCATGATTGTGACTTGAGTAGTAACTTACTGATGGACGCCTTTTTCTGTCACTGGGCAGCAGTAATTATTCTTGCCATGAGCATGTATATTGTGAGATCAACTCCGTAGGGTAAGTGTGTGCATTTCAGATTTTGATATTATGGACATAGTTCTCTGAAAAGATTGTGTCAGTTTTCACTGTAAAATAAATCTTGATGTTTTTAAACAGGATTCTGTGTATAGGGCTCATCCCCTCTGCCCTGTACTTTGTAGGAAGGAGGAGGAGGAGCGAAGGCGGCGTGAAGAGGAAGAAAGAGAACGTCTGCAAAAGGAGGAAGAGAAACGCAGGAGAGAAGAAGAAGAAAGGCTCAGGCGGGAGGAGGAGGAGAGGAGACGCCTGGAAGAAGAGCGGCTCCGGCTGGAGCAGCAGAAGTAAGGCTGCTGCGGGGCGTCCGTGTGCGCGTGAGACGTGGACCGCCATGCTGCGGGGACTTGACCTTTTATCATTTTGTGCCTTAGAGTAATTGTGTGATTTGTGTGACTGGCAGAAAGATCATTATTAGCTACTCGCCATTCATACCATGGATGTGTTGCCAAAGGGCGCTTCATCTTAAGCATCATTCGGTTGCAAAAAGAGGAAGGAATGTACTGGAAGGGCTTTGGATGTGCTCCCCGAGCCAAGGGACAAGAGCAGGAGCTGAGGTTGTCGCTTGCTCCCCGTCTGTGAGCCCGCGGGCTCTCTCGGCTTTGCCTCTCCACTGTGCCCCTGTTTCAGTCTTCCTGTTCTCTGCACCCCACCGGCCTCTGCTGCGGCCTGCATGGCTGGTCCGGCCGCAGCTGGGTGTGTGTTGTTTTCCTTCCCCCGATGGAGGCTGGTTGGAATCCAAGAGACCCAGTGTGAGATTCCTGGGACAGGGAGCCGAGTCGGCGCAGCCTGTGTCAGGCGTTCTCCAGGGCAGGGCTTTGGCGCTGAGACCCCTCCTTAGTAAGGGCTGTGAGAGCGGCCGTCTCAGGAGCTGCTGCTGCTTCGAGAGGGGCTTCTGGGCACGAGGAGCAGGGAACCGACGCCCATGAAACACCGGGAGGAAGGCATGGTGTCCCGGGGGCGGCGGGGCATGTGGTGTAAACCAGGGGACATTGGAGCCCATGGATTCTCTTCACTATTTCTGAGGTGCTTCTCAGGAAAGCTTCGCACCAGCCCAACCCAGGGCCCCGTTCTCCTTGGGAGAGCAGCTGCGGCCGCTGCTCTCGCAGGGCGGGCCCAGTGCGTACGCTGCTGGGAGCTGGGAGACTCTGCTTAGTTACTTACCTGGTAAGAGATGGCTTTGAGGCCTTTTTGTTAAGGTGGTCATATCACTTAAGCATGCGATTCCTCTGTGACAAAAGATAAAAGAGAATTGTAATAGTTTACAGAAATTAGTATCTTTGAACAAAGTGTGCCCAGATATTTTCATTGTTCCTTTTTAAGGCAGTCTTTAACTTAAATGCTGAGAACCCTCAAAGTTTCACCGGTTTTATTTCTTCTTACCAAGGTCGCCTGTAACATCTTTAAGCCTTTCATCGGCCTCTTGCTGCTTTTCAGGTGTTTGGGTAGAGAAGCCGTGGCCAGCAGTTGACTGCTGCAGGCGAGAGCGCCTCCTGCCTCTCACGGCATTGTGGTTAGAGTAGACGCGCTGGTCTTCAGTCCCGGCCCAGCGTCTGCCAGCCGGGCGGCCGTGAGAGCGGGCGGGCCGGCCAGTGAGGCGCCCCCAGCGCTGCCTGGTACATTGTAAGGGCACAAAAGGCTAGCGAATGTGACGGTGGTGATGGTCAGGACGATGGTGTGCCGCTTATTCTCTCTCCAGCCCAGATTTTCCTTGGAAAACCTAAGTAAAATATTAGCAACCACGTTTATTTTCTTACGTCTTCCTTCTGAGCATGGGACACAAGCTGATGGGTGTCCATGACTAGCCTAGTCATTTTTAAGAGTTGTAAAAATTATAAAAATAAGTGAGAAGCACATTTTACTTTGTTGTGCCCGACCTCCTGAAGCCAGACCAGTGTACGTGCTTGTTTTCAGGCAGCAGATCATGGCAGCTTTAAACTCACAGACGGCTGTGCAGTTCCAGCAGTATGCGGCTCAGCAGTACCCGGGCAACTTCGAGCAGCAGCAGATCCTCATCCGCCAGCTGCAGGAGCAGCACTACCAGCAGTACATGCAGCAGCTGTACCAGGTCCAGCTCGCGCAGCAGCAGGTATGACAGGCAGCACCGCACTTAGCTGTGGAGGGAGTGGGGGGCGGGGGTTTAGTTTCATCCAGAACCCGAGTTCTTTTTTAACAGTTGCTAATGAATTTTGTATTAGCCTTTCTGGTATAAAATAACTTTTAAGTGACCTTTATTAAGGCAGACTTGAGTGTCACACTGGCAATTATGAAAGAAAATGTGCCATCCTAGAACAGCAGATGATGTGGCTGCTACCGTATCGTTCTAGGCGTATTTGGGAGCTGTGTGGATGGAGCGTCATTCCAGCGAGTCCAACGTAGATTCTGGCGGTTGTCCTGGCCCCAGGAGGGCTTGAGTAACGGGCATGCGGGCAAGGGCACCCTTCGGGCAGTGTCCCGTCCAGGGCCTGGGCAGCCCCCCGGGGGAGGTCCAGCCCTGGAAGCGCTCAACTGGCTCCACAGCTCTGGGGCGGGTCCGCCTTGGCTTTTGTGTGAAGTGCAGTGGCCGGAGAGGGCTCCCTGCAGCACAGCAGAGTCCCCCGCCCGCTCCCTGCCCCCAAGTAGTTCGCTCCCACGTGTGAGTCCGTGGTTTAGGGAGCGGAACGTGCAGCCAGGATCAGATAGCACTTGGATTCTGTCCTGCCTTTGCCAGTACCTGGTTTGATCTCAGACAAGTCACCTGCTGCTCTGATTTTTCTGCCTTTTAGTCGGTTAGATGGTATATGGCATCCGGTACATGTCCTGTTACAGCCTCACAGGACCGTCGGGACAAAATGAGGAACCAGCTTCTCTGTGGAAGTGTTTGGTACCTTTGGAAGGGAACTGATTTTTCCATCCTTTGTGCATCTTGAAGAGGCATAAAATGCCTCTTTAAACTTAATCTAGCTAAGTTTTACTTAATTAAGTAATTTTCACTTATAAAGCAGTTAACACCTTTCAGAAAATCTGAGTGAAGGAAAGTGTTACCTTATAGTTGCTCAACATTTCTTGTTAGATGAATTCAAATGTTTGTTTTGCCAAGCTCTTTAAATTCCTTAAAAATTAATATTCTTACTTAAAACACCTTTTGCTCTGAGTCGTTTGCATTAGTGCGCAGCTGAAAAGCACTGCAGGGTTTGTGTGACCCATGAGAAGAGGAAAAGATGTCAGCCCAGAGTTTATTCGGGATCGTGTGGTATTTTTGAGGGATTTCCTTTCTGTCCTCTGAGACCTGTTTCTATGTTAGCATCACCACTCCCTTTTTTCTGCGTTTTTGATGGGTATCGAGATGACTTTTTTAATACGATAGCCGCCACACCTTCCTATTTATTGGTTGCTCTTGCTTTCTGAGAACAAAGTCAGTCGAGGAGGGCAAAACCGAGAAGCTTGGAGCCACACCGAGAAGCCGTAGTTCAGGTTGCAGCGCCCAGCGTCGCTGCATCGAGCCGGTTGGTAGTCTCTGGGGAGAGAAGGAAGGGGCTGGGAAAGGAGCGAAGGAACCTCGCCCCGGAAAGAATTAATTTCCATCTAAATACTGAGCAAAATGACAATATGTGAACATCTTACTAATTTGGGGGTATAGGTACATAGCTGTTACATTGCTCCTCAACTTTCTGCGCTTTTAAAAGCTTCCTGAAGTATAAAAGAAAGGTGACGTGTATAAGTAATTACAGTCTATGTATTATTATAGATAAGCAGCGCGTATTCATGGGTAGTGGGGTCCCAGGAAGAGGAGTTTCTGCGGGGTTCCAGGAGAGGTGTATTGGGGAGGGGCTGTCCGACTGGACGGTTCATCATCAGCAGAAATGCTTTCTTTGCTTTGCTGTCATGCCGTGAATGTTCTTAGGGTGCTGATTTGTTTGGGTCGTATGCACTTTTTCTGGAAGCTGCTAGTCTTTCTAGAAAACTCATGTGGAAATTACTGAGAATCTAGGCCTTGGAAAGAGAAATTTTAAAATCTTCAGTGTGTTACTAGCCTGCACAGGCAGCAGCGAGAGGTGCTGCTGTTTGAGTAATTGGTCTGTAAATTGTAAGTTAAGTGAAGTGTGTATACAGACAAGCCAAAATAAGTCATCCCAAAACCATGAGATTATAAAGGTGTTTGTCCATGTGTATATATTTTTTACTGTTGTAAACGTGGGCTTGCTTATATTTAAAGAGTTATACTTGACTACCCAACTGCATGTCAGCAGTAGAATGGATAAATGAATTTTGTATTTCCACAATGCAGTATTCTATAGCAATGCAAACAAAGTGCAATTATTTGTAACGCTGTAGATGGAACTTCACAAAAATAATGTTGAGTGAAAGAAACCAGACACAAAAAAAGAGCGTATGTTGTACATTTCTATCTACATAAAGTTCACAGATAGGCAAAGAAGTCTGTAGCATTGTAAATCAGGATAGTTGTTTCCCTGGGTGGGGGGAGCATGGAAAGTTCTGGAATGCAGATAATGTCCTGGTCTTGGTGTTGGTTACATGGGTAGGTTTGATTTATGAAAAATGATCAAGCTGTACCCTTATGATTTGTACACTTTTCTATAGGTATAATTCAGAGTCCCCCAAAGTTACTTAAGGTTACTTCAGTATTTCTAGTAGTAGTAACATCTGTTGTCATCTTGATATAGGAGAGGACTATCCCAAATAATTGTCCTTTGAGTTTCAGATGTTTTTACTCCCCTATTCATTTCATGTTTATGAATACACATAATTTAATCATAATTATATAAACAGTGATGAGTTTTCATTGAGAAAGTATTTTGACCTCAAGATCCATTTTATAAGCCTATTTAATTCTTAGGTCTATATTTCTTACATGATTAACAATTTTCAATTTAATTGTGGTAAGAATTTTTCTGTCTATAGTTTATAGCGAAGATTTTTTTTTAAGATTTTATTTATTTTTAGAGAGGGAAAGGGACGGGGGGGGGAGAGAAACATCAATGTGCGGTTGCTGCTTACGTACTCTCTACTACGGAGCTGGCCTGCAACCTTTGGTTTGCAGACCGGCACTCAATCCAGTGAGCCACAACAGCCAGGGCAAGGTTTAATTGATTGATTATTTTTGTTTATATTAGAATAATTGTCCATATTGGATTTATTGGTTACTTTGGGGGTCAATATCAGATTTTGCCAATTATAGCTTTTGCCTATGTGAATTTTTATCTGTGACCATTTATTTCTACTAAGTTTCATTTTCCTGATACAAATTATACATACCTGAATTTTAGCAAGATTTTCTTCTGTCAATTTTAGGAGCAGATGTTACTGGGCTCAGTTTTTTGTCCTTAATAATTTTATTTTGGGTTGATTATTTCTACCTACTTAATTTCTTCTTGTTAGTTTTTCTCTTGACCCTCAGATTACAAAAATGTGATTTTTAGTTACAGTTTTTCATCCATGTTGATTTTTTATCACTTTAAGCTGTCGGTTCTATTAATACCCATTTTAGATAGGTTAAAAACTGATCAAGTGTATCAATGACTTCTTGGAGCAGAGTGTGTTGGTAGGGTACCCACGTGGGTCAGAGTGCATTCCAGGGCAGATGCCTCATTTGTTAGCTTCCTGGTCAGAGCATTTTCACCTTTTCTCGGCTCGTAGGCAGCGTTACAGAAACAACAAGAAGTAGCAGTAGCGGGGGCTTCTCTGCCCACGTCGTCAAAAGTGAATGCAGCTGTCCCAGGGGATGCGATGTCAGTTAACGGACAGGCCAAAACCCACACTGACACCTCTGAGAAAGAGCCTGAACCAGAAGCTGCAGAAGAAGCCCTGGAGAATGGACCAAAAGGTATGATATCCTGATATCAGAACTCGGATTCATGAAGGCGAAAGTCAGGATGTCAGGTTAACCAGCCTCTGAGAGCAGTCACAGCTCTGGGAGAGCTAAATGCGCTTTCGCTCTTTTCATTCCAAATCTGATGCTTCTGGTGACCCTTCGGAAGAGTGCAGGAGAGCAGAGGTCCGTTGGACACTTGGGGTTGTCTTACTGTGTATGCTGGTTATCTGTCGCTGTGTGACAAACTGCACCCAAGTCCAGCAGCTTAGAATAAGAACGAGCAGCTTCGGTGGGCCCGCGTTCCGGAACAGCTTGGCCACTGTGGGGGTCCTGGCCTCTTGCGAGCTGCAGCTGAGATCGGGCTGGGACTAGAGGCTCTGCTTCCCAGAGGGCTCTCTGGCCGGATGGGCCAGCTGGGGCTGGCTGCGGGCAGGAGGCCTCGGCTCCTGGCCTGGGAAGCCTCTCCGGAGAGCTGCTGGAGCGTCCGCCACGCAGAGGCTGGCTGCCCCCCAAGCACAGGATCCGAGAGTGACGCGCGCCGAAGCGGCAGTGTCTCTTACACCCTGACTTTGGGAGTCACCCATCCGCGTTGCAGCTGCGCTCCACTGGTCGCACATCCCAGCCCTAATACATTTGGGGTGGTGGCTTCACAAGTACGGGAACACCCGGAGGCGAGGGCCATCTTGGAGGCTGGCTGCCATGTACAACAGTATGTTTTTTGAGGCTAAAGTACCACGTTACCCAGAAAGATAACAGCATTTTCAGAGGTCTACTGGTTTTTCACGGGCAACTGATCCCTTCATCCAACAACTGGTTGAAGATTTTCTGTGTGCTCGTAGTCGGGTGGTGAGGCAGAGTAACCCACGGGATCATACACTGTGGCTGTGGCGAGTGCGTACTGTGGCGGGGGGAGAGGGGCATCCCAGTTGGAGAGCTGGTGGTGTGGGCTGTGACCTGGTCAGAGAGGTCAGTCACCAGCGGCCCTCCGGGGAAGGGTCCCTCGAACTGAGAAATCTGAAGCAAGAGTAAGAGGCATTTCAGTAACAGAGAAGAGGAGAGGGTTTGGTGACAGTGATGGGGCGGCAGTTTCAGACCTTTGTCTTTTGAGAACACGTAACAGAAAATAGAATCAGAAAAGACTTTGAAATGCCTTGACTCACCCCTCCCCCTTTTTCCTATTAACAGTTTGTCAATATTTTCAAATGAATCCTTGTCAAAAGTTCTGTGGCTGACTCTGGGGAACCCATTGAGTAGCCTGGGGCACGTGGATGCCGCTCAGCAGCAAGACGTCCCTCCTTTTTACCGAGTCCCTGGCAACCCGTTCTGCCCGAGTTCTGCTTCCCTGAGTTCCTGCCGCAGCTTCTAGCGCTGTGGATGCCGGGAGGCTGAGACTGCCCTCGACAGAGAGACCGAAGTCAAAGCCCAGCTTTCTTTGTCCACATCCAGAAGTTAACTTATTTCTAAGTCTAGACCTTTCTTCTTTGTTAGAGATGGGATGAAAACGGACAGAGCTCAGGTGAGGCAGTGTCCAGGGTCATTCCTAGGTTCCCTCCCCCGGCACCCCGTGTAATTAGAGTGTTGAAAGAGACTCACTTGTAAGATTATGGATCGTTTGTCTTACTTGAAGTGGTATGATGGCCTCTGAATACCTGTGACATCGGTCAGTGTGGTAACGGGCGGGGAGGGGGGGTGGCTTTCGTGTTCCTCTGAGCCCATGACCTAGGGAAGACCATGTTGCACTTGAGCAGGTGGTTCTGTGCAAGTACTGCTGCCCGCAGGTGCAGGCTCCTCTGCAGCTTTTGTAATTCCTGTTGTCTTTAGAGTCTCTTCCAGTTATAGCAGCTCCATCCATGTGGACGCGGCCCCAGATCAAAGACTTTAAAGAGAAGATTCGACAGGACGCGGATTCTGTGATTACGGTGGGCCGAGGAGAAGTCGTCACCGTTCGAGTACCCACCCATGAAGAAGGGTCCTATCTCTTCTGGGAATTTGCTACAGACAGTTATGACATTGGGTTTGGGGTGTATTTTGAATGGACAGACTCTCCAAACACTGCTGTCAGCGTGCATGTCAGTGAGTCCAGCGATGACGACGAGGAGGAAGAAGGTACAGCCATTGGTCCATAGTCAGTAGCTGGCTGGGTGGTGTGTTGGCAGAAATAGCAGCGGTTCAGAGGGCAGCCGGCCTTAAGCTTCCTACTAGCACTTCCCAGGCAGAGGTCACGCCCTTTGCTGGGGCGGGCGGGGACTGTGGCCGGAAAGGCCGTGAGGGTGAGGGAGGCCCGTCTCCCGTGGGGACCAGTGCCTGACCGGGAGTGTTCTGAATGCCAGGGTCTGTGGAACCAGCTATTTTCTGCCTTCCGAATACTCTTACTTCTGGCCCTGTGTGTGCGAAAAGCTAAATGTGCAAGGTCATTCTGAAAAATTTTAAAGGAGAAAGTAAATTCTGCAAACTTCAGAATTTATTTAAATTTTATTCTGATATTAGTTTTTTAATGTAAATATAGAAACTCACCAGAACATCCTACCTAAAAAAAATCTTTTTTCACTTGCTCTTCCCTGTTTTACTAAAATGTAATTGTTTATTTACGTAGACAAAATTGTTTCCAAGGAGAGTCTAACTATCTTGGTCTAGGAAGTAGGGTATAAAATGTATGGCTTACCAACTAAGAGGAGAGTCTCCCTAATAGTGTTAGCTGAAGAGTGAGAACGCGGGGCTTGTGTCCGCCCCAGTAATCAGTTTCATGGATGTCCTTGTAATAGGCAGTAGCGTGCGTTTTGAATGGCTCTGTGTGTGTCGTAAGTGGACAGGTAGCTTTAAGTGTTGCTGTGATGAAGCAGATCTGATTTGGGCCTACTTCCTATGAATGTCGTCTGCTTTTTTAACAAGTGTTTTATTTTAGGATAGTTTCAGACTTACAGGAGGAGTCGCAGAGGTGATATGTGGAGCTCCCGTGTCATGCCCCCGCCCTCCCACCCCCTGCACCCAGTTGCCCCTGTTGTCACTATCTTCTGTCCCACTGTGGTACATTCATCCTAACTAATGGACCGATGTGGTACATTATCATTTATAAAGCACAGACGTTTTCACATTTCCTCAGTTTTTACCTGATGTTCCAGGATCCCATCCTGGATGCCACGTTATATATAGTTCATTGTCATATCACCTTAAGTTCCTCTAGACCCTGAGAGTGTCAGACTTTCCTTGTTTAAATTCCTGGCCGTACCCATTGACAAGTGTCCCACGGTTAACACAGTCACCAGATTCACTCTGCCGTGTTATAAACCTGAAAGTCTTTTATCTGCTCTGCTGAATATTCCCTTGATCTATTTTCCTTGAGGCTGTTTATATTTAACATTTTCTTATTCCTATAGGTATCTATAGGTATTCTTCCCCTTAACCTTATATCGTTACAGTTCAGAAAACTATTGATTGGGGCAAACCTGGAATCAGAGCTCGCCTTTTTGTCACTGGGACCATCCCTAGTTTACACAGGCCCAGTGAAAATAATTGAATTTCCGGAGCGTCTCTGAATGCCTGCCTTTCTCGTGGTTTTCTCGTTTCATACCTCATCTTTCAGACGGGTAGAATATAAGGCTTCACAGACCCTCTTCCTTCCTAAGCAGACAACTTCCAGGCCGTCGAGGAGGCAGAGGAGGAGCCCCCTGTTCTGGTTCAGATGAGCGAGAGTGCTCCCTTCGGGAGAAGTTGGGAATCGAATGGCTGTGGAAGGAAAGAGGGGGGCTCAGAAGCAGGAGCAGTGGTCAGAGCACAGAGAGGGGCAGCTGCTGCTTCCCCGCCTCGTGCTCCACACTGGGCTCCCAGGGCCCGGCCGTGTGAGCGAGGGAGCTGGTCAGCCGGCCGGTGCCTGTGGAATGCGCGCAGGTCGTGGGGGGTGGCGGTCGAGTGAATTTCTAAGGAGAAGTTTTGAAAGAAAGGGTGGTGTTTCAGCGCCTGGTGCAGTGTGGTTTCCCTGGATCTAACGTGGCTCTCTTCTCTCTCACAGAAAACATCAGTAGTGAAGAGAAAGCCAAAAAGAACGCCAGCAAGCCCCTGCTGGATGAGATTGTGCCTGTGTACCGGCGGGACTGTCACGAAGAGGTGTATGCCGGCAGCCACCAATACCCAGGGAGAGGAGTCTATCTCCTCAAGTTTGACAACTCCTATTCTTTGTGGAGGTCAAAATCAGTCTACTACAGAGTCTATTATACTAGATAAAGATGTTACTGCAGAGTCTGGAGTCTGGGGTTGGGCAGAAGATGTCATTTAATTTGAAAGTTTCTTTCGACTTTGGTGGAGCGTTGCAGTCAGTGTTTGCCCGCTGGTTGTGGTCCGATGGTTTGTGAACTCGCGGTGGGGTCAGGCTTTCCTCGAGACTCTTTAGCATTAATCCTTCGGGGTTAAGGGGATTCCTCGTCCTCATCCAGCCCTCGGGCGCTGACTGGCAGTCACTAGTGGGTACCGCAGTGAAATGAGCTACGTGTTAAATCTTTAAAGTCTCCAAAATAAGTATCCCAAGGTTGGCCCCCGCTGGCTGATGGTTAGTCCGTTGCTCCCTGCTCACTGTTTTAGGAGAGCCCACAGTTACAGGGCCCACTTTATGTTACAGTCTATGTGAGGTACAGCAGACTTCGAAGGTCATCATTTTTAAAACTTAAAAACTTGAGACCTCATGGATTATAATAGGAAAAAAAAATTGCCTCAATTTAATCTGGTTGTGAATGACCCAGGTTGTTTTTTGCTTTGGGTTACAGCCATTTAGTTCAGAGTTATGTTACAGAGAGTTATTTTCTGAGATAATCCAAAAATAGAATGTCCAAACCTGATTGCTGGTTAAAGTATTAGTATGCATAGGAGACCTCAAACATCCACCTGAGCAAGCCTCCACGCACTCGCGGTCCTTTTCTCTTCATTTGGTATTTATACTACCAGTAGCAAAGCAAAATTAACTCATTTTTGTCTTGATTTGGCTTTATAGAGCATCTCAAATTGAAACTTTTCTACACAGACATATAGTAAGGGATTTTGTAAACTCAAATTGCCACCTACTGGATAAAAATAGACAAAAATCACTTAAATACAATTCAGTGTATGAAGAATAACATTGCACTAAAATGGAAGTCACTGCCAGAGATGGTCCGTTTTTAATTTGTTACCACTTAGGCCCATCCCCTACACAGGTCCAGTTTGGAAATTACTAGAGGGAATTAGAAATGCGTATGCCCGTGCTGAAATTTTTTATAGCTTTAATCTGTATTATGTCTTTATTGATGGGAAAGGGTACACCTTTGTTTTCTTTACTGAAAACAAATATGGGCTCATTAATTGCCTCAAATATGTGTGATTGACTAGTGTAGAGATTCTTGTTTTCAGCAGGGAGGGTAGTGCAGATAGAAAATGACAGCGATCACAATACACACATGTTGTTACTATATGTTGTTACTGAAATACTTAGATTTTTTAAATTTCAAATCATAAGTCACTTCTTGTAGGAGGGTCTCCATTGATTAGCTGCAGTATATCCAGGTCACTACATAAGGATGGGGCTGTTTGTTTTTGTGTGCTGCATTTCTTTGTTTTTTAATACCTGGTTTTGTACATACCTAACTCTGTTCACTGTTGTTTAAAAACTGGATTATTTTCCCTAAGAAGTGCTCACCCTGTGTTTCTAAGTTTGAGTCGGTGGCCTCTGCTCGCGGGCGCCCGCACTGGCGCGGCGGAGCCCCGGCCGGGCTATCAGCGTGCACGCGGCCGCGGCCGCAACCGCGGGGCCAGGCGCCTCCTGGCGTTTCTGTTTTTGTTTTTGTTTTTTGAGAAAATACTGTATTTAAAATGTAAAATAAACTTTTAAAAGCAGGCACTAATATATATTTCTTCCAGCCTTTGATTACAGACTTGTCCTTGCACATGTTAAATGAATTATCTTCTAAAAATACCGTTGTTCTTGGGAGCAGCGTGTGTCACTTCACATGGCAGCGGCTCCTGTCACATCTCCATGTCAGAGCATTTCGGGTTTAAACTTTTATGTTGCCTTTGGCTGTTGATTAGGACAGTTCAAATGCGACTTCAAAGAAGATCCTGAAAATAATATATTTAATCAATTAAAATGTTTATCTGTAACTTGTTGATGTTTCATTAATATAGTTTCTCTCTTGAAGCCTTAGTTCTGCATTTCTTCACTTGGGTGGCACAGGAAGAAATGTTTTAAGTGATCTTTTTTGTTTTAAAGGGTTAAAAAGAAAAACTATTTCTGGCTGATTATTTAGTTTTTGCTGTGAATTACCCCAGTGTGTTAACACAAATTAAATATATTCAGACTTCATGGTTGAAAAGAAAGCACTGGCTTCTTACTGACCGTGACGTCTATAAGATTCCCTCCCGCACACGCACTGCCGCCGCCGCCCCCCCCCCCCCCCCCCCCATGTGTGCAGTGCGCCCCTTGAAGTCCAAGGCAGCGGCCTACCGTGGAAGGGCCCCGCCGAGGTGTGCCGCCCGCAGAACAGCGCTGAGCGGCGTGCCCTCGCTGAAATGCAGGGTCTCGGACAGGGGAGCCATAGGAGGAGGCCATCGTCTTGGTTTGTGCTGTGCGGGGGAACCACGGACCCAGACCCGAGAGCAGTCCCGCACGCTGTTGCTGTGCAGCGCACCTGGGGATCCGCACAGCGGAGTCCGAGCCACCTATCCGATGGAGGAGGGACAGCCGCCTGTTCGCGGGATCGAGGGTCGTTGCCGCTGTTTCCTGGGGCTTGAGTGCTGCAGTCTGCAACCAAAAGCCACCCTTGCGTCTGTCCCCAACTTCTGTTAGCAACCTAAAAGTGTGTGCTGTCTTGACTTTGATGTTTATCGGGGTGTTTTGCATTAGTGGATTTTTTTTTTTGTTTTTGTAGGTTTTAATGTTGTATTGTTTATGCTGTTACAACTCCAGTTTTTCCCCCTTAGCCTCCCTCCACTCAGTCTGCCCCACTTCCATAATCAGTCCCCCACTGTTGTCCGTGTCCACGGATCCTTTTTATAGGTTCTTTGACTAATCCCTTTACCTTCTTTCCATCAGTCCCCAGCCCCACCCTCCGCCGTATGGTGTTTGTAACTGTTGCTGAAAAAGGCGATAGTATGGTTTTGCATGTGGAATGATAGCGTTTGACTTTTCCCTGCTCTCCTCTGTCCCCTAGGTTGGCATCATGCGGCTGTCTGTCGCAAGGGCAGCTCCGCGTCGCGCGTCTGCTGTGGGACATTCAGGGTCTTCCTCCGGTTCCCACTGCACAGCATTCTTGGATGTGCCTGTTTCAGCTCATGTGCAAGAATTCCTCTCATGTTTATACAAAGAAATAGAGTTGTCATAAGCTATGTAGGTCTGCGACTGTTCTAGATAATGCAGAATTGCTCTTCAAACAATTATACCAATTAAACTCTCACAAGCAATATACGGGAGTTCCTGTGTTCCACATCCTTACTGTCAGATTTTGTAATTTCACCAGTTCAGTGGGTACAAAACAGAATCGTATCTGTGCTTTAATCTGTATTTTCCTAGCCAGTGAAGATAGGCACCCTTTCATGTTACTGGCCTTCTGTGAATGGCATGTCTTACATCATCATTCTGTTGGGCTTTGACCTGATTTGTAAGAGTCCTTCACCTGCATATGACAGTCTCTGAGTCACGTTCGGCACCAATAACTGGTGCCACACTTCAGGTTGTCTTTTTACTTTGTTTATAATGTCTTTCATTGTTTAGAAGTTTTAGTTGAAATGGATTAAACTCTTACGCTTTGTGTTTTCCATCTCTTCTTTAATATGTTTTTCTCAGCCCTGAAGATGTACAGATACCTTCTCTATTTTAAAATGAGCCTTGCATTTAGGTCTAAAGTAACCCGAGATTTATTTTTGGTGTCCGTGAGGAGTTTGCTACTACTTTATTTCTGTATAGGAACTAAATTTATTCCACTAACATTCATAGACTAGTTGTCCTTTATAGAAAGATTTGTGTATTTCCTATATACAAATAGGCAATAGGATATTGATATATATATTTTTTTATTTATATATTTATGAGTCATGTATCCTCGCGTGTGTGTGTCTGTTTCTGGGCTTTCTATTCTGATGAGTTATTTTTTGTCTACTGTACCAATGTCACACTTTCTTAATTACTTTAGCTTTAAAATAAGCTTAATATCTGGGTACATTAAGTTCCCTTATTATTTTTCCTTTGTTTTTAATTTTTAAAAAATTTCATTCATTTATTTTTAGAGAGAGAGGAAGGAAGGGAGAAAGAGGGGGAAAGAAACAGTGTGTGGTTGCCTCTCATGCACCCCCTCCCCCCATCTGGGGACCTGGCCAGCCACCCAGGCATGTGCCCTGGCTGGGAATCAAACCGGTGACCCTTTGGTACGCAGGCTGTTCCTCAGTCCAGTGAGCTGCACTGACCAGCACCTCCCCCTTATTTTTCAAAATTGTTTTGACTAGTGTTGATCCTTTGTTTTTCCATGTGTATTTTATTTTTATTCCCCCCTTTAAGTTTTTTTAAATATTAACATTTACATAATTCAAAATTCAAAAGACTCATTTAAAAAAGAGCTTCCCATCTTGTCCCCAGCCACCAAGGACTCGAACTTCGATCCCTGGAGGCAAGCAGTGTTACCAGGTTTATGTATGTTGTGCATAGTCAAGTAGATAAATACAAATTTATAACTTCTCCTCTACCTAATACACTCTATAGCTTTTTTCACCGAAGAACTTGTTTTGGTAACCTCTCTGTAATCAATACATAGAACTCATCTTTGGATTTTTTTTTTCTTTGCATTAGGTGAAAATCATATACACTTAACCATTTTAAAGTACAATTCAGGGGCATTTAGTACATTTGCAGTATTGTACAACCACCACCTCAGAACTTTTTCACACTAGAACACACATTAAAAAGTCACTTCCTGTTCCCCCTCTTCTTAACACCCCCCCATCACTCGGCAACCACTAATCTCTCTACCAATGGATTTGCCTATTCTTGATAGTTCATATACAAGGCATCACAATAGGGGACCTTTTATGTCTTTCACTTAGCATAATATTTTTAAGGCTAATCCAGCTACAGCATGTGTCAGCATTTCATTGTTTTTATGACCGAATGATAATCCCTCTTCCGATGGCCTTTGGGTTGTCTCCATCCCTGGGCCTTCTGTGAATAGGGCTTTTAGGAACATGTGTGAACAAGTATTTGTTTGAATGCCTGTTTTCGTTTCTGGTGTATACCTAGGAGCAGAATTGCTGGGTCATATGATAATTCTACGTATAAATTCTTGAGGAACAGCCACACTATTTCCCACAGTGGCTGTTCCATTTTACGTCCTCGCCAGGAATGTCTGAGGGTCCCTTTGCCTCCACAACCCCTCCAGCGCTTTCCCCCCCATCACAATGGCTGTGAAGGGCTGTCTCATTGTGGTTTTAATTTGTATTTCCTTAGTAAAAGATGTCAGACATCTCTCTGTATACCCAGAAGTGGGATTGTTGGATCATACGATAGCTCTATTTTCACTTTTTTGAGTTGACACACTCTTTCCCGTGGTGGCTCTGCCATTTTACATCCCCACCAGCAGTGCACAAGGGTCCCAGTTTCCTGCCAGCACTTGTTTTTATGTGGTGTCTCATTGTGGTTTTGATTTGATTTTCCTTAATGATTAACGGTGTTGAGCATCTTCTCACATGCCTATTGTCTCTGTGTATCTTCTTTGGAGAAATGTCTATTCAAATCCTTTTGCCTATTTTTAAATCGGCTTGTTTTCCTCTTGTTGATTTGTTTAAGTTCTTCGTGTGTTCTGGGTATCAGTTCCTTATATGATTTGCAAATATTTTCTTTCATGTTGTGGGTTGGACAGGTTGTTGTCAAAGGCGTTGTATTTTTACCCAGCAGCATGAGCAGCATTGCTGAGCCTTTTACTTTAAAAGATTTTATTGTAGAGAGAGGGGAAGGGAGGGACATAGGGAAAGATACTAATGCACACCCCCAACTGGGGACCTGGCCCGCAACCCAGGCTTCTGCCCTGACTGGGAATCCAACCGTGACCTTTGGGTTTGCAGGCCGGCGCTCAACCCACGGAGCCGCACCAGCCAGGGCAGGGTTGTCGAACCTTGTCAACACTAAGCGCAAAGGGGCTGGAGGGTGGAGCACCCTCTGGGCTTCGGGGTAATACTGAGAACTGGCTTCCGTCACCGCTGGGTGGCCAGTTGGCAGTACCCTTTGGGGCATGCGTGCAGTGTCTCTTCTGTGGTCGTAAAGACCTTAATTTAACTACTCTTTGGGGGTGTCCGGCTGCCCTTTTTAAGGTCCTTTTCTCAGCAGTCTGTGAGAAGACGGGGGTTTCGGCCTGTGGGGACCTCTACGGGGACTGTCAGGGACTCCTCCGGGTTCAGCCTCTTCTAAACCAGGGGACCGGTGGCAGCCTGAAGCCTGTTAACTCTGTCTGGGGGCAGAGACCCGTCCCCGGGAGCTGGCTGGGAGAGTGGGGCAGAACCCGCCCAGGAACAGAAGGCTGCCCCAGCTCTTCAGCACAGTCAAAGCCCTGATACGGTTCCAAACCCCGTGGCGGTCCTTACGCCCCGTTCGGGTGCTCCCAGGACTTCTGTCGAGGCAACTGTGTGCCCCTGGGGGGTCTTGTGGGGAACCTTCACGTTCCACAACATGCACTGAGGATGCAAATGGCCGGCCGGCCCATCCTGGGAGATGACATATCATGAAAGTGAAGGATTTTGTTTTTCTGGCCCCCAAATGGATGTCCCACAGACTCAAACCTTCTGGCCTCCAGTACTAATTGCCGGTGTGTGACTGGGTCACCTCCCTCTGCTCAGTTTCCCTGCCTCCCTAGGACAGTCCCCAGTGTGGGAGGCGAACGCAGCCGCCACCTGTGGGGTTCACCACACACTGAGCTCCACTCCCCCTCCCACCCTGTGGAATGGCAGTGTTGGGCCAAGGGGACTGACCACTCAGCTGTGGCAGATGCCTGCCCTCATGGCTAATTCCTTCCTGCTCGGAACATTCTCTCTGCTGCCCCTGCCGTGAAGATCTCCATCCTGGCCAGAAACGGCCTCTGCGGGGGTGGCGGGCGGGGGGGCAGGCGCAGACCAGGGCGACCCCACTCCCAGTGGGGACGTGCTGTTGGGGTCGGAGCCACCAGGCTGA